CGGGGCCTCGTGGGGGGCCAGAATTCAGAGGACGTCTCAGGCGAATGCTTGTTTTCACGTGACCAGGTCAGCCAGGGGGGTCTCCAACATGGTTGTCCGTCGCTGGCGCATCAGACGACCGCATGTTGGATATCCCCCCTGGGTGGGCTGGAGCCGTGAACTTTTACATTTGCAGGCCACCAGACGGGGGTATTGAACGTGGTGGTCCCGAGCAGAAATCACGTGTTTTCACGTGTCCAGCCCACTCAGGGGTGTCTCTAACATGGTGGCCCCGAGCTGGAACCACGTCTTTTCACATGTTCAGGCCACCCCCGAGGGGTATCTAACATGGTGGGTTTGCGCTGGAGCCGTGTGTTTTCAAGTGGCCAGGCCACCCAGGGGGGTATCTAACATAAGAGTCCTGTGCCCAGGCCACCCACGGAGGTATCAAACGTGATTGCCCCGAACTGGAACCACGTGTTTTGACGTGTCCAGGCCGCCCTGGGGGCATATCCAACATGGCGTCGGGCCCAACGTCGAATTATCAGAAATCGCACGGTGGGCCGAAAAACGCCACCCGACCACATATCCCGGTGATGTATTCTTGCTTTGAACAGGGGCGAGATCAGCGTATCCAGGCAACGCAGGGTGGTATCTAACATGGTTGTCCCGAGCTGGAACCACGTGTTTTTACATGCCCTGGCTACCCAGGGAGGATATCCAACATGATTGCCCCGACCAAGGACAACGTGTTTTGACGTGTCCAGGCCACTCAGGTGTGTATCTAACAAGGTTGCCCCGAGCTGGCACCATGTGTTGTTACGTGTCCAGGCCACCCAGGGGGGCATCTAACATGGTGATCTTGAGCAAGGACCACGTGTTTTAACGTGTCCAGGCCACTCAGGGGTGTATCTAACATGGGTGCCCAGAGCTGGCACCCACGTTTTTACGTGTCCAGGCCGCCCAGGGGGGTATCTAGCATGGTTGCCCCGAGCTGGCACCACGTGTTTTAACATGTCCAGGCCACCCAGGGGTGTATCTAACATCGTTGCCCAGAGCTGGCACCCACGTTTTTACATGTCCAGGCCGCCCAGGGGGTATCTAACATGGTTGTCCCGAACTTGCACCACGTGCTTTAACGTGTCCAGGCCACCCAGGGGTGTATCTAACTTGGTTGCCCAGAGTTGACACCATGTGTTTTTACGCGTCCATGCCACCCAGTCGGGTATCTTACATGACTGTCCCGAGTTGGAACCATATGTTTTTACGCGTCCAGGCCGCACAGGGGGGTATCCAACGTGGCGTCGGGCCCAACGCCGGATTATGAGGAAACGCAAGGGCTGCCGAAAAGCGCTACCCGACCACATGCCCCAATCCAGAAAAGTTATGTGTTCTTGCTCTGAACAGGGGGTTGCGCTTTGGGGGCCTCTCCAGGGAAGACATTGCGAGGATGTCTCGAGCGGGAGCGGGAATTCAGCGTATCCAGGTCACGCAGGGGGGTATCTAACATGGCTGTCCCGAGCTGGAACCACATGTTTTTTCATGCTCAGGCCACCCAGGGAGATCTCTAAAATGATTCCCCCGAGCTGGAACCACGTGTTGTCATGTGTCCAGGCCACCCAGGGGGGGTATATGACATGGTCGTCCCGAGCTGGCACCATGTGTTTTTGCGTGTCCAGACCACCAGCACGACGCTTGTCCCCAGCACGTTCTGTAGCGCGTCCCCTTGACACGTCCCGCGGTGCGTCCCCGTGGCACGTCCCCTGGCACGTCGCCTGGCGCGTCCCTTGGAACGTTCCGCGGCGCGTCTTCCTGGCATTTTCCCTTGTCAATTTGCTCTGGGGCAGCTACTATGTGGACTATGTGCTCAGACAGCTCGAGCTTAAGATCCAGATCAGTTCGGTCAGAACGCGTATGCAACGGAGGACTCGATCCACAACAGTACAGAGCACAATCGCGGCGTGGCACATCGCAGTTCAGCACGGCGCAGCACAGCACAGCCCTCGGCACGGTACATCAAGATCGATACACTCATTCAGCATTGCAACCTGTCCCGTGTCACGTCCATTGGCACGTTCCGTAGCGCGTCCTCTTGGCACGTCCCGCGGTGCGTCCCCATGGCACGTCCACCGCCTGGCGTGTCCCTTGGAACTTTCCGCGGCGCGTCTTCCTGGCATGCCCACCTGTGAATTATTTTTGGAGCAGCTACTATGTGCTCAGACAGCTCGAGCTTAAGATCCAGATCAGTTCGGTCAGGACTCGGATGCAAAGGAGGACTCGATTCACAACGCTATAGAGCACAATCGCGGCATGGCACATCGCAGTTCAGCACGGCGCAGCACAGCACAGCCTTCGGCACGGTACATCAAGATCGATACACTCAGCATTGCATTTGCCCGTCGCCCAATCAGGTGTCTTTGAAACGTTGCCATGTCTTACATGTCCATATTCCTTTCCGGGTTCGTGGGTCGAGCATGCTTTTAAGATCCCTGCGTCGCGTACGTGGCCTTTGCCGCCAGCGTGATGGCATCGGTAAAGCCGTGCCGTCGGCCGAGCGGTCACCGTGTTCACGGCCCCAGACCTCCAATTGATGGACAAAGACCAAGGGCCTTGCATTGAGACATCAGGACATCGGAGGTCTGGGAAAGTACTCACCGCCTATGCTTCTTCATGTATCTCGCGCGTCGCCCTGTGAGAATCTCCAGGCCGCGCTTCTGGCGCGTTCAAGAGGCTCGGGGGCCATCTGGTCGTGCGCCGAAATTGGCAGCGGCGGTCTCCTCGCCCCCTCAAGCGGCCACGGGGCCTTCACGAGACCCCTCCGTGGTCTTGATCGCGAGAGCAGACTTCTCGTGCTGCTCTCGTGGTCCTTTTTTGCCCGCCGTGTGTGCTGGCCTGTGGCCTGCGGTCGCTCGAATGTGATGTCACGTCCCCGGCAGAGGCCCCCTGTGGAGCCCTCTCGCGGACCCGATCCGATCGGATCCCCCTCCGTTTCTTCCGGCCTCGCGTTCTTCGCAGTCTGTTCCTTTTCCTCGTCTTCTCTCCCTCCCGCTCCTGCTCTCTTCCACCTTGCTCGGTCCCCCACGGGAACAGCCGTGCAGGCCACCCGTTTCTTCTGGCATGCTGGCGTCCTCCACCGCCGTCAGGAGTCATGCGTTCGGTGGAGAGGAGCTGATGAGCTCAAATAAATCTTCCCCATCCACCGACGACGACGACGACGAACGACGACGAGCGACGACGACGACGACGAGCGACGACGACGACGACGACGACGACGACGAGCGACGACGACGACGACGACGAACGACGACGACGACGACGAGCGACGGCGACGACGACGACGAGCGACGACGACGACGACGATGACGACGACGAGCGACGACGAGCGACGGCGACGTCGACGACGACGACGACGACGCCGACGACGACGACGTCGTCGTCGACGACGACGACGACGAGCGACGACAAGCTGGTCAGCTGCCAGGTCTGCCTCGCCGCCTCACGCTGTGGGCACCTGTTCGGGGTGGGCCTCTTTGCGTGCCTATTCTCGTCATTATATTGTCGTGCTTGTGCAGCAGGTGAAGGGACCCATAGGCCCACCAGGTCATCGAGAACAAACGTACGTGACCTCATTCGGGCCCCCGCCTCTGCATTCTGGAGAGCCACTCGGGGTGGTTTGGCTTGGTGCATCCGCAGGAAAGACCCCCTTCATCCCCAGTGTTTTGGGCCTCCTGATCCAGGTCCGCGCCCAAAAGGTCCGGGACCATGCTCATTTCAGGAGGGAAGAAAACACACAGACACAATTAATCGTCGATCCCCAGAAAAGATGGGAAAATATGGGAAGTGGTGGGGAAGACAAAATCAGATATAAAATGGGAAAGTGTGGGGAATTATTTTATTTGTGTGTATTATTTATTTGTGTGTCCCAGAGCCCCTTCATCATTGTTAATTACCAGGGGAGAGACGTCCTTGAGACTGCGCCCTCGCCAGAAGAGAGGCCCCGTGCCGCGCTGTGCGAGCCGACCCTCCTCGCCTCCCCCCCTGTTGCACCCACGGAGCCGACGGTTGTTCGAGCCATCGTCGTCGTCGTCGGCCTCCTCCTCCTCCTCCTCCTCCTCCTCCTCCTCCTCCTCCTCCTCCTCCTCCTCCCTCCTCCCTCCTCTCCTCCTCCTCCTCCTTCTCCTCCTCCCTCCTCCTCTCCTCCTCCTCCTCCTCCTCCTCCTCCCTCCTCCCTCCTCCCTCCTCCTCCTCCTCCTCCTCCTCCTCCCCCTCGTCGCTGCGTTCGTTCGTCTGTCGTCCTCGACCCGCCGCCGTCGTCGCCGCCGGTCTGCCGATCCCACCCGCCTGGGCCTGTCGCCCGCGCGGGGCGCCCGCGTGACCAGTCCGGCAGTCCTGGCATCCACTGTCGTTCGAGGCGAGGAAGCTGCCGCCAGTGCTCGCCGTGGTGTACAGGTACTCCAGGTTTCGTAATAAAAGGGAGGGGGTCTGGACCCTCCAAGACAAGCCATTTCAGACCTCCCCCGTGGGAGAACCTTCCAAAACATCGTCCCCAGACCCCCCCAGGCCCTCCAAGATAGCCTGGAAGAGACCCCCCCCGAAATGAGACCCCCCTCCCTTTGTTACAAAATCTGGAGTACCTGCTGGCGGGGCAACATCCGACGGACGAGCACAACTCGTGTGCCGCGAGGGCAGTTTACCTACCTGATCCAGATCGGCTCTCGCCCCCGCGGAGTGGGCGGCAGAGAAAGAGGAGCGAGGGAGGGGGAGGGAAAAGGGAGAACGGGAAGAGGCAGAGGGAGGGAAGTGTCGAGGAGACGCTAATTTGGATCACGGCGCGCGGGTGTGCGGCGGAGCCCGCTCCTGTGCAGAATCGGCGCGCTCCGTCGCCCAATCAGGCGGCACTGACTGGGTAGTCTCCTCCTCCTCCCCCTCCTCCTCCTCCCCCTCCTCCTCCTCGTCCTCCTCCTCCTCCTCCTCCTCATCCTCCTCTCCGTAACCATTTTGTCTCAAGCCATGTTGGTTCAAGCTGGGGCACAGCTTGACTGGGCAGCTTCTCTTGAAGGAGCATTCCTGGAGTCAAACCCAGGCGGACGCCTGTCCATTTTTGTTCCAGCATCTCTGGCCGCCATGGCGATTGGAAAAGGGATGATGGCCCAGATCCAGGCAATGCTCGACGCCAACTGCGAGGCCATCACCAAAACTTTGAAGGACGAACTCCAGACAAGTGTTGCTGGGTTGCCAGGCCAGATCTCCGCGCAGGGCACCGATCTCCAGCTGATGAGGAGCGAGATCGCCGCCCAGGCCACCATAACCGCCAACCTCGAGACCAAGGGGAGCACATGTTGTGGCACCAGCGTGAGTTTTCTTCCGTCGGCAGGTTCATCGTGTCGGCAAGCACTCGAAGGAGGCAGCGCATGGAGAGTTCAGCATGACGACGAAGGCGGGGAACCCACCATCAAGTTCATCGGGACCTACCCCAGGCCGCTGCTGATGAAGACCAGGATGGCTCATTGGCAACAGCTACAGTCGCTCTTCCCCGAGCTCAAGGACGAGTCCACGGTCACCCCCATCTTCCACGGGGTTAGCCAGGTGTACAAGTTGAAGTTCACCCGGGCTGCTGATGCCCAGATCTTTCAGCTCAAGTTGAACCAGACATGCATGGAGTGGGTCGATTTCCGCGGCAAAAGCAGGCACAGCATCAGGGTGCGAGGCGACCACCCCTTCACGTAAGGCAGAAGAAGCGGGCCTTCTCAGGCCTCTATTGCGACATCCCCGAGGAGTGCAATAAGTCCGCTCACTGGAACAGCGAGTGCAGGCTCGGCGTCAACCAGCACAAAGGCGAACTGAAAGTGACCGCGGGCGACGACGCCTACGAGCTGATCAATGCAGCGCAGCAAGGTGAAGATACATTCAAGCTCGAGCCGCTTCAGAGCAACCTCAGCTACTGGGGCGTCTCCGAGGAGCGGGTCAACGGCATCCTAGAGTCCCTCTGACAGGCCGACGAGCGGGCCATCGCTCCGAGCCCTGTTTGCAGCTCCCTCCACCCCACCTCCTCTTGCACCATTTTTGCTCCTAGAGCTTCTCTGGCCGAGCGCGGGGTTTGCGAGGCCAACATCCCCCCCCCCCCCATTCCTCCCTTGCCTCCCCGTGCCAGTGCACGAGCAGAGCCATCGTGTTCCCCCCCCCCTCCTCTCCATTTGCCAATGCTTCCCAGATCGAGCGCCGCCCAGGATTTCGACGTGAAACTCGCAAGCCCTCAAGTGGATCTCTGCGTGCAGACCAGGTTCGTGTTCAACTTAAGTTTCATAGACTTCATGCCATGCTTCATCAAAAGAAAAAACACACATGGTTGGCCCCCAAAAAACACATCGTGCTCCTGGGGACCTGCCAAACATGAGTCGCGAGTTCAAGACCCATTCTCTTTACGGATCGTTCTGTGGCCGCCCGAGCGCTGGAGGCCTCCTCATTTTTGTTGACCACGCGCTGCTGAAGGATTTTCATACTGTCTCATTCTCTGAACTAGTACCTGGGTGGATTGCGCGCTTCAGCCTGTGCGGTCTGAAAGGTGAGTTACATATTATCAATGCACGCATTGGCCCCGGCCTTCCTGAGCCCGGGGTGCGTCGACAGTTTCAAGCTATCCAAACACCCTTCACCCGTCTCAGATTCCTTCATCCTTCATCCTGGGGGACTTCAATTGTCACGAAACGGGGGAAGGCAGGTTCAACCTCACCGCAGGTTCAGAGCGCCACCAGTCCGGCAGGCGCGCCTCGCTCTTCCGCCCCCTCTTCCCCGACCACGCCTAGCTGGAAGAGGCCAGCAATGCCCATCGTCGTGTTATTTCGCAGCCCACTGGATCTATCGCGCTCGGACGTCTCGAGCGCGTCTACTGGCGACATCGCCGCCCCCGACCTCCTGGACCCTTGCCCCTCCTGCTATGCGATTTGGAACATCTCCGACCTCGCCCCCCCTTCCGACCACGCCCCTGTCTACCTCTCGCTCAAGCCTTGGAAACCAGAGCAGAGCCAGATCATGTTCACCTGCCAGTTAGGGTCTTCGCTAGACACTCATGCGCCAAGTACTTCGAGGACATAGTTGGCGGGCAGGAACTCAGCTCAGACCCCCCGCAAAGCTCATTGGGATCAAAGCCATCGTGGTCGCTACGGGGAACAAAACAAAGCCCGAAATGTTTCAAACCACGGCAGCGACTTTGCAGGAGAAGATTGCATGCTGCCTCAAGCTCGCTCGTGCTCACAGATCCGTTAGTGGTGCCGCCGCCAAAGCCGCCATGCGCGCCTGCCCCTCCCTTAGCTCCTACTACGACCCCTGCGACACGATGCGGTGCAATTGGCAAGGATTACACCCCCATCTGCAATCTTCGATGTCTCAAGAATTGGCAGAGCAAGAGCAAATAATTCGAGGTCCCGGGCGAGGCCCCAAGGTCAATGTTGATTTGCATCCTTTGCGCATTCGGAGGCTCAGCAAGGCCTGGAAGGCCCAGCAGAGGCCCATCTGTCTCACAGGCACTGTCGACCAGAACGGCGCCGAGCAATGGACGCCGACATCTGCGCCGATTTGCTGCGCGCCCATCGGGGCAAAGTGTTCGGAGCCTGGACGGGGCCAAGCGCGCCGGGAGCCGACTTCCTACAGCATGTCACTCCGATCGAACCTGATCTCGACGAATTCGTGAACTCTACCCACCAGCGGTTCCCATGGAAGCAGACGTACGACCAGTTCTTAGACACCCTCCGTTACAAGTGGAACTCAGCTCCAGGTCTTGACGGTATATGCTACAGCGCTAGGAGAGCAACTGGCCCTGTCGCTGAAGAAGCATTGCACGAGGTATACGAACATATTCTGAGGGGAGAGCCCCCCCCCTCCCCCCCCCCCCCCATGAGGATTTCAATTGCTCCGAGTTCGCTCTTTTAGCTACAGGTCATACTCCTGATCCCCAACGCGTCGTCAAAGTCGTCGAGGACACCAGGCCCATCGCCCTCTCCAACACTGATAACAAAACCGCATCCAGTATTTTTTGCCGCCCTCATCTCGAATATGATCCCCGATCGAGGTCATTCGTCCCAGAGATGATTCATCAAAGGGAGGAGTATTATGGATGACGTGCTGGAGGTTGACTTTGACATCACGCACTGGGGCGCCGTTCTTGGTCACCAGGAATGCGGGGCATGCCTGTGTGATTTTCGTGCTGCATTCCCACCAGCCCTTCACGAATGGATATGGAAGGTAATGAGAGCCTTCCACTTCCCCGGGTTCATCATCACCGCCATCACGCTCCTCTATCGCAACATGAAGTGCACCATCTCGTTCAAAGGCTCCCATGCAGTCTCCCTCAAGGCCCTCAGAGGTGTCGAACAAGGCTCAGGTGTACTCTTCGCCATCGCCCTGGACCCCCTCCTCCACTTCCTCGGGATCCTGCCCATTGCTCTTCTCAAACAGATTTCCGCTTTCGCCGACGACCTGGGGTCGGTGGCCGCCGACATTTGCAGCACCCTGGGACCCGTTTCCAAAACCATCTGCTTTGTTGGTTTCGCCAGTGGCCCGATTCTCAACGCAGCCAAGGGCGTCATCATTTTTTCAAAGCCAGAACCCTTCAATGGCGCAGTGGATCGGTTTATGCGCAGTGGCAGCAATGTTGCCATTTGAAAGTGCCGCTCAGTGGCAAGCGCCTTGGGTTTACTATTGGGAAGGAGGGGAGGGAACTGTCTCGGAAAAGCATTGGGGATAAAATACTGGAGTTTGCTCACATGGTCAAAGGGACGGGAGAAGGTCTAATCACGAGTACTGTTGCCCACGATCGGTACGTGCATTTTGTATTGTTTTGACAGGTGTGTGGGGCGGTGCTTGCGTGGTTCCTGCTAGGCAGCCGCCCGTCAAGAGGGGGAGGGGGTGTTGACTAAGTTGAAGTAGCAGTGATGCCCTCCCCCGAGAGAAATACGTGGTTCGGAAAGCCACGTCCTTAAACCCCACGCGCCAAAGAAAGCTGATGGGACTAGTCTGCGCGCAATTTCGGGCCTCTTCCCCTCAGGTAGCCTCTGCGAATAGAGGGTGGCCCAGAAAGACGAGGGGCAGGAGTGGAACATGACGGATGGGGACGAGGAGTGGAGGAGAAGGTGCATGGGGAGGAATAGGTGTCTGACCGTGAGCCCCTCTCTATCGATTCTCCTTCTACGCAGGTCCATGCCCGTTTGGCCCTTTTACCTTCACCTTCCCGCATTGATCGGCGCGCTCGGATTTTTTTTGCGTCGCTGCTGCTTCCCCACAGCCTTTTTGGCTTTCCAGGGGTGGGAGCCCAACGTACCTGTTCATATTGCGCAGAAGGCACCTGCCATACAGTCGGACGCAGGCATAAGGTCGAGGCCGGTTTGGGGAAGGTAACCTAGTGTTCTTCGTGTTTGTCGGACATGATGATGCATCCTGGGGGGGTACCGTTGGATGTTTTGTTTGTTTTGGCCGACGGAGGGTCTCACGTTTTCGAGGGATGTCCTTCTGGCCTGGGTCCGACTGTACCACCGCTACGCCTTGCCATGCCCGGTGTGGGCTCGGGCATTGTGTATACGCCGTCTTGGCCGAGGCCGGGGCGACCTTTGTAGTTAGAGGAGGAGGAGGAGGAGGAGGAGGAGGAGGAGGAGGAGGAGGAGGAAGAGGACGAGGACGAGGAGGATGAGGAGGACGAGGACGAGGACGAGGACGAGGACGAGGACGAGGACGAGGACGAGTACGAGGTGGCGGAGGAGGAGGAGGAGGACGGAGGAGGGAGAGGAGGAGGAGGAGGAGGAGGAGGAGGAGGGAGGATAAAGAGGAGGAGGGAGGAGGAGGGAGGACGAGGAGGAGGAAGAAGAGGAGGAGGAGGAGGAGGAGGTAAAGGGACGGAAGACCGGGGCCCAGGATGGTCTTTGCTAGGCACGGCTCGCCACGAACGAACGTGTCTTGCAGTAACCGGGTCTTGAAGCCTGGGGCGAGACCAGGCCTTCCTTCATCGAGGATAGAAGAAGAGCAACTGAACCCTGGTAAAATTGAAGGCGTGGCTTCACGCAGGTCTTCGTCTTCAGTGGGGATTATCCACCTGGACGGCTTGGCTCGATGCATCTTCAGAGAGGACCCCCTACCTCCAATTGGTTGGCCCTCCAAACTTCGGTCCCCTCTCGATGGGTTAGGGATCGTTCCTGCCGCAGCGTCTCGACGGTCTCGAGTCCGCTGGAGGGTCCCAGGTGCCCCGGAGCGGCGCCATCAAAAGTCTGCCAGCTTCCCCCGTCCTCCAGGATTCAGCCACGCGCAGAGGGGGGCGGGGGGAGGTGGGCTTCTTAGAAGCACCCCTGCTTCTTAGAAAGCGCGGACCTTATCTGTAGATATTATAGATGTAAGGCCGGCACCTTCTAAGAAGCAGCCTCCTGAGAAGCTCTCCTTCCTCCTCCACCCCCTTGTGCGCGCCGCCAAAGGACCCGCTCCTTGAAGATGTCAGACTGTGGTGGTGCCGCTGCGGCTCGATGTTTCCACCCGCGGCCCCTGAGTTACCGACTTGCTGGGCGGACTGGACCGATGTTGGGTGGGCCTGGTATATCCGGACTGATTACGGGGGCGGGCTTCGTTCTGGGTTGATGTTGGGTGGACCCCGCATTTACCCGAAAACGGCCCCGGGCAGCCGAAACGAAGGACCAAGCGCCAGCACCGATTCTGGACTGATTTTAGGCGGACCGGCATCTACCCGAGAACGGCCCCGGGCAGCAGAAACGGAGGACCAGACGCCAGGACCGAAAACGTCAAGGTGCCGACCGAAAACACAGTCAACCATGATAGTAAGGATGGGGCAATTTTCCAAGGCTACCCTTGCATCCTTGCCCCTTCGGTATTAGGCTTGGCCTTCTCCCCTCTCCTCCGCAGTGGCTGCAGCAGCGCCAGCAAGCGCTTCCCGACTTTCTGGCGCTGCAGGCAGCAGCGCATGGTTGCCGAACGGCGCTTTCACGCAGCGGGTGGTGCAGCAGAGTCCATCGAGCCCCAGCCTGGGCCAGACGCGCTTTTCTCCCAGTTGCCCGACACGGGTCTCGAAGGGCTTGAGTTCAGTCGGGCCTGTCCCTCTACAGGAGGAAGATTCCCAAATAGTCAAACTAGTCCAGGGACCTTCCTTT